AAACTGTGACCTTGGTAAGTGACATGACACCTGAGTTTCATTCCTTCTTTATTAGCTGGAGACAGTAGGATCCACATAGCCTAGGGTTAAGTGAGGCAATGAAAGGGAAGCCCTTGGCACAGTGCTCATGAGACATAAACTTAACAGGTCCTTAGTGAACACTCATGGTTTGTCATGATTATGTAGGAAAGTCTATAGAAGCCAGCGAGATGTGGAAAAAAGTAACAGAGAAATCAGTGACGAAATGTCCTCTGACACATGAAAAAGTCTTTGACTCACTGGTCTGGGAAGGGAGAGAGGAGGGCGTGATTGACTACAGGCAGGCTGATAGCATCACAGTCAGACCTTGGAGGCCAAGAGAAGGTGGTGTGGTTCAAATAAGACTTTAAGCCCCTGTGCCAGGTGTGATGATGAATGTCTAAATCCCAAGACTTGGGCAGTGGGGGCAGAAGGATCAGAGCTTAAGAGAGTGAGGTCGGGCTGGAGTGATGGCTCAGAGGTTAAGAACAGTCACTGTTCTTCCAAAGGTCTTGAGTTCAATTCCCAGCATCCACATGGTGGCTCATAACCATCTATAGTAAGATCTGGTGTGCAGGCAGAATGTTGTATAAATAATAAATAAATCTTAAAAAAAAGAGAGAGAATGAGGTCACCATCCTAGACACATGTCACGTTTGGGGTCCCCAGTGCTACAGGGGGTTCAACAAAATCAAATGCTGGAAAGATGGCTGACGGGGGGTAGGCACTGGCCATTGAGTATGGCCCAGGGCCTGTATTGTGGGGGGAAGGGGTTGTCCTTCAACCTCAACATACATGCATTGCAGGGCCCTTCAAAAAGAAATGAATAAAGAAACAAATAAAGGTGATTAAACATTTTTAAAGATTTATTTATTATTTATATAACATCCTGCCTGCACACCAGATCTCACTATAGATGGTTATGAGCCACCATGTGGTTGCTGGGAATTAAACTTTAGGACCTCAGGAAGCGTTAAGCAAGTGTTCTTAACCTCTGGAAGCCATCTCTTCAGCCCTGATTTAAAAATTTTAACAAGAAAAAAAAATATCAAAGACAAACTACAAAAATAAAAAAGAACATAATAGAGGTTAAGTAAACATTCATATTCTCAAAATCAACAATGTTCCAAAATATGAATTTTTCTTTTTCTTACAGTGCTAGGGATTAAACTCAACGGCTCTGTGCATACTGGGAAAGCTCTCTACAATGTCAGCCCAGACTTTCTCTCCCTCTTTCTGTCCTTTTTTTGTTTTGTTTTGTTTTGCTTTTGTTTTCCAAGACAGCGTTTCTCTGGGTAACAGCTCTGGCTGCCCTAGAGCTCACTCTGTAGACCAGGCTGGCCTAGAACTCACAGAGATCCACCTGCCTCTGCCTTCCTAGTGCTGGGATTAAAAGCGTGTGACACCAGTGCTTGGCCTTCTGTCCTTTCTTTTCTTCTTTGACAAAGGGTCTTGTTAGTAGTCAGGCTGGCCTCAACCTCACAAAACTCAATTCTCGGCTTCTACAGTGCTGGGGTTGCAGCCCCGTACCACCAGGCTGAGCAATACTTTCTGAATGCTGAAATGATGCCACAGTAGACCTCCTATGTCAGGTTGAAGTCAAACTGCAGGTGTAGCTGGAGAGATGGCTCAGCGGTTAAAAGCAGTTTGCTCTTCCAAAGGTCCTGAGTTCAATTCCCAGAAACCACATGGTGGCTCACAACTATCTATAATGAGAGCTGGTGCCCTCTTCTAGTGTATATGCATGCATGCAGACAGAGTAGTGTATAAATAATAATAATAAGTAGCTGTATAACAGGGTTAGCTCATTTTTTTCTTTTTTTTTAATTTTATTTTTCTTTTTAGTTACATTTTGTTAACTCTGTGTCCCCGCTGTATCCCGCTCCCTCAATCCCTCTCCAACCCCACACTCCCTCCCTGGTCTCCTCCCTGCCCCTTTCCAAGTCCACTGATAGGGGAGGACCTCCTCCCCTTTCATTTGACCCTGTTTTATCAGGTATCTTCAGGGCTGGCTGTAGAGTCCTCCTCTGTGACCTAACAGGACTGCTCCTCCCCTGGGGGCGGGGGGGTCAAACAGCCTGCCCTTGAGATCCTGTTAGAAATAGTCCGTGTTCCCCTTACTTTGGAAAACTACTTGGTTACTGAGCTACCACGGGCCACATCCGAGCAGAAGTTCTAGGTTATATCCATAGATGGTCCTTGGTTGAGTGTCAGTCTCAGAAAAGACCCTGTGCCCGGATATATTTGGTCCTTGTAGAGCTTCTATCCTTTCCATATCATACTAACTCCCCTTTTTTCATATGATTCCCTGCACTCTGCCGAGGGTTTGGTTATGAGTCTTAGTGTCTGCTTTGAAACACTGCTAGGTAGAGTCTTTCAGATGCCTTTTGTGGTAGACTCCTGTCATACGTTCAATGCACATCCCATTTGTCTTTCTAAATGAGGATTAATCACCTTCGCCTGTGTCCACTTTCTTGATTATCTTCTTTAGGTGTGTAGATTTCATTATGTTTATCATATCTTGTAGGTCTATATAAGCGAGTATATACCGTGTTTGTCTTTCTCCTTCTGGGATACTTCACTCAGAATGATCTTTTCTAGATCCCACCACTTGCCTGCAAATTTCATGATTTCCTCCTTTTTGATTGTTGAGTAGTATTCCATTGTGTAAAAATACCACAATTTCTGTATCCATTCCTCCGTTGATGGACATCTGAGTTGTTTCCAAGTTCTGGCTATTACAAATAAAGCTGCTACAAACATGGTTGAACAAATGTCCTTGTTGTGTACTTGAGCAAATTTTGGGTATATACGTAGGAGTGGTATAGCTGGGTCTTGAGGTAGCACTACTCCTAATTGTCTGAGAAAGCGCCAGATTGACTTCCAAAGTGGTTGTACCAGTTTACATTTCCACCAGCAGTGGAGGAGGGTTCCCCTTTCTCCACAACCTCTCCAGCATGTGTTATCACTTGAGTTTTTCATCTTGGCCATTCTGATGGTTGTAAGGTGAAATCTCAGGGTCGTTTTGATTTGCATTTCCCTAATGGCTAATGAGGTTGAGCATTTCTTTAAGTGTTTCTCTGCCATTCGATGTTCCTCTTTCGAGAATTCTCTGTTTAGCTCTGTTCCCCATTTTTTAATGGGATTACTTGGTTTGTTGCTTTTCAGCTTCTTTAGTTCTTTATATATACTGGATATGAGTCCTCTGTCAAATAAAGGGTTGGTGAAGATTCTTTCCCAATCTGTAGGCTGTCGTTTTGTTTTGATGACAGTATCTTTTGCTTTACAGAAGCTTTTCAGTTTCATGAGGTCCCATTTATTGATTGTTGGGGTTAGCTCATTGTTAAAGGCCTCCTATCCCCTTTACATGGGACACACACAATTTATTTCATGTACAAAATCATAAACATTTTGTAACCTTCGGCCTACATATGTAAAGTGTAGTAAATGAAATTTCCGTACAGAAGTGGGTTCCAGCCAATTATATATAATTTCAATTGTATCTATTATGCATTTAATAGATATAAAACATGTTGGGGGTTTTAAATTCTAAAATAAGAAGCTTTCCAAAAATGGAATACTCAGAGGCTGAAGAGATGACTCAATGGTTAAGAGTACTGGCTACTCTTGGGTTTGATTCCCAGCAGCCACATGGCAGCTCACAACCACAACCATCTGTAACTCCAGTTCCAGGGAACCCAATGTCCTCTTCTGGCTTCTGTCAGCACCGGGCAGGCAAGTGGTACAGAATACTGGGGGCTGGAGAGATGGCTCATTAGTTAAGATTAAGAGCACTGTCTGCAATTCCAGAGGTCCTGAGTTCATTTCCCATAATGCCTTGTGTCATTTCTTTTGCAGACTTCCTCTGACTGTTCTTCCTAACCCCACTTCCCTCACAGGCTGGCTGTAGGAGTCCCAGTGTGCTGAAAGGATAGCCACTTTAGTTTGCTTCTGCAGCTTCATGCTTTTTCCATTTCATTTTCCCCTTGCTCTGTGGCCACTCTTTAGTCCCGGTTGTGGGCTCACTCAGGCTGCCCCCCCCCCATCCCTGCAGCATCTCCCTGGGAAGCACTTTAGTCATGGTGACTGTTTAACCTAGTTGCCTACAAGCAGACTGGCCCCTCTCTGCTTAAACCTCTAGGATTGGAGTTCAATTCCCAGCATGCAGAGGTTACAACCACCTGCAACCTCTAGTTTCAGGAGCAGCCTTTCCTCCACACGCAGCCCAACCCAACACAGAGATGGCTCAGTGCTTGAGAACTTGCTCTTACAGAGGACCTGGGTTCAGTCCTGGATCTACATGGTGGCAGGTCCAGGAGATAGAATGCTCTCCCCTGGTCTCCAAATGGGTATGTATAAACACGGGAACACACATACTCACATACATAAAATCTTGGCTTGTTTCTGTTAGATCTTTGTATGATTGTATTGCAAGTTCCTGAGGTCCAGGCAGAGCACGCTCCTGAGGTGTAGCCCTGGCCCTGCAGGGAGGCGACTGGCTCTGCGCATTAGTGCCCACCATGCTGGCTGTACTCTTGGACACACTGCACTGACTACAGCTGCCATGGCATCACCTGGGTAGGCATTTTTGCTCCACTCTTCTCTTAGGTTACTGCAGCTGCATTTGGCCCATCCCTGATCAATCGTGTAGGCGTGACACATGGCTTCAATAACTGACTTTTGGAATCTGTATCTCTATGATGGTTTGCTTATGATTTCCATTGCACATGTGACTACCTCCTGGCAGGTTCATCTGAGTTACACACAGCCTTGTTAGAAATGTTCACAAATGAACTGACTGCCCAACCTACCCCCCCCCCCAAAAAAAAAACCTGTATTTTGCTCCTTGAATCCTTGGCTTCTACCTCTCAGTTACATATTGCGAACTATGGCTTTTCTGTTCAAGTTGTCTGTCCTTAATATATCCCTGTGCTTTAGCATTAGTTCTGCTGTCATGATGAAACTCCTTGACAAAAGCAACATAAGAGAGGAAAGTTTATTTGGTTCACAATTCCAGGGTACAGTTCATCATTTTGGGGAAGTCAAAGCAGAAATTTGGAGCAGTTACCATCTCATTCAGTCAAGAGCAGAAAGAAATACATCAAAGCTGCCTGTTGATCAACCCAGAAGTACACCTGTTAGAACTCCTAGTCTTTTACACTAAATAGCTGGAATACCCACCACATCAGTTTGAAAGAGATCATTGAATCCGATTTCCACCATTACCGGATTGGTCTTGATCAATGGGAACCCACAAGACAGCAAGCAAGCAGGGGTGTTTGAAGCAACCATAGTTAAGTAAAGAGTCTGCAACAGAAGCCACAATCCCCATTCTTTGACTGGATCATTTTGGGGCCAGGCATGACAGTGCATGCCTTTAGTCCAAGTACTCAGGAGGCACAGCCAGGTGGATTTCTGGGAGCTCAAAGGCAATGTGACTACAAAACGATTTTCAGGCCACATGGTGAGACCCTGACTCAAAAACAAATAAAAATCAATGATTGGAGAAAATTAGACCCAAAAATCAAAGATGAGAAACATGGAAGTTATGAAAATGCCATTCACAGACAGGTGGTGGTGCCGCATAGCCTTTAATCCCAGCACTCAGGGAGGCAAAGGCAGGGGGATCTCTGTGAGTTCAAGGTCAACCTGGTGTGCAGAGTGAGTTCCAGGACAGCCAAGGCTCCACAGAGAAACTCTGTTCCAAAAAAAGCAAAAGCAAAACAAAACAAAACAACAGAAAGAAAGAAAAAAATGCCATCTACCCTGGAGCCCTTGATGACTGATTGGATTTCCCTTTTATTTATAAGAGTGTCAGGTGCGAGGCCTTGGGTATCTCACATTAAAGTACAGCAAGCTGTGCACCTGGCTTCCTGTCCTCCCTTTGGTCCTCTGAGTTCACATTCTATTTAGTGTCTCACTGATCTGACAAGACCCGAACCAGGGTGGTGTCTGCAGGGCAGATCATCCTCTCTGAACACACATGGCTATCCCCATCCCACCCCCAATGCACAGGGCTGCGACCCCGCGGGTCCCACCCACTCTCTCTAGGCTGTGCAACAAGGTCACCAGAATCCTACAGCCAGATGCTCCCAGAGGGTGGCCCAAGGCAATGGCTCCTCCATCCATGTTGACCTGCAGGGAAGAGGATCTTGGAGTCAGTTCTCTGTGGGCACAGGCTGAAACCCTGGTTTTATCTTTCTATCAGTGCTACTCTAGCAAACCACCCTTTCAAACTTGGCTTTCAGTGTAAAACTTAGGAATAAATAATGCCCGTGTGATGCCTGCTGTCCTTCCTTGTTTCTAGAATGTTCTATTCATTGTGGTGTGAACTAACATAATCAGGTTTTTTTTTTCTTTTTTTTTTTTCTGTGAAAGCAACAAAAAAGTCAACTGAAACTTAACTAGTATTTGTTCATCTCTTGCCAAGATGACCAATCCTGGGAAATTAACTCATTTGTTGTTTTTTTTCACCTTAAACATGGATTATGCAAGCTGGTTGACAAACAGCACAGCGTCATGTTGTTTACCTTCTCAGGGTTTAATCCAAGTTCTTTAGCTATTGCAATAGACACCGCTGCAAAGGCTTCATTGATTTCAAACACATCAACATCATCCAGGGACCAGCCTGCCTTTGCAACCTACAGGAAAGATGAACCGAGTCAAATTCTTTACTACTAATGTAAAAAAAATATATATATATATAAAACATATACATACACACATATATATACATATACACACACACAACACTAAAAATGAAGACAAGACATACATAATACAACCCTCAAAGATACACCTTGTAGGAAACCGCCACTATGAAGCCAGGTGTGCCATGGTTTCTGTGCCTATAAACCAGGGCTGGAGGGGCTACCATCAGCCAGCATGGTGCTACCCCGCCTGGAACCACCGCAGCCTGGACTGTTCCTGTGTGAGCCCTGTGATAAACTTCTCCCTTAGTGACGCTGGCTCCACTCAAAAGATAGATGATGTTCTCTAGGTAGGTGTGGCAACACACACCAGTAATTGCAGCACTTTGAAGCTCAGGCAGGACAGCTGTCTACATTTAAGGCTATAGAGCAAGGCCCAGCCTCAAAACCAAAAGGATGCGCTCTAAATATCCGTTAAGGTAGGAAGCAGGAACTGCCCTGCCTTACGTGCAGGTGACACAGCACGCTGGACTCTGGGCTGGAGAGGTGGCTCAGCTTCAGCTGTCCTCCAGGGGACCCATGTTTGACTCCCACGCTCACATGGTGGCTCCCAATACCGTACCTCCAGGCTAGGGGATCCAACACCCCCATGGCACACAAACGGTTTGCAGAAATATACAGACACAAACACCCATGCATTTAGAAGAAAAAAAAAAAAAAAAACAAAAAACAACCTGACCTGGGGCTGGAGAAACAGCTTAGTAGGCAAAGTACAAGAGTCCTGAGGTCAAGCCCAGAACACAATGTAAAAATAAAAGCATGAGGCTTGCCGGTGCGGCTATGACCACACTGATGGGACAGCTGAGATGCAGAGCTCTGTGGCTGGCCAGCCACCCAGCCTAGGCTACCTGGGAAAATTTCAGACTAGTGTGAGAGACTGTATCAAAAACTGCAGGGGAAGGGTACAGTGGGTTGCCTCAACGAATAAAAACACTTGATGTCAGGCCTTATTCCTGAGTTGTCCACGTCCACAGTAGATGGCAAGAACTGCTCCAAGTTGTCCTCTGACTTCTTCATGTGCACCGAGCTTGCTTACACACACACACACCCTGGACCAGCACAATGTTCTTCAGTTACAGGGTCCTAAAGCGGATGGCAAGGAGGTAATAAACTAAAGATAGGAAAGTTGTGGCCAGGATGTCTTGCACAAGCTATGTCTTTTTTTTTTTTTTTTTTTTTAAGATTTATTTATTTATTTGACATTTATGGGCACTCTATCTATCTATATATATGCCTGGATGCCAGAAAAGGGCTTCAGATCATGTTATGGATGGATTGTGAGCCACCATGTGGTTGCTGGGAATTGAACTCAGGATCTCTGGAAAAGGAGCCAGTATTCCTAACCACTGAGCCATCTCTCCAGCCCAGGCTATGTCTTATACTAAGCAAGCTTACTATGTTATCTATCTTATGTTATATTCAGTTTTAAGTGGAGAAATGGGACAAAGTCAGCAATAAGCTGATCAAACAATGTTACACAAAGGGAAAACCGGGTGTGCCACTTACCAAGCACAAAATGGCCTTAGGACTGATAATTATAGCCTAGTCAGGAGAAAAAAACCAAGCTCCCAGGCAAACGCGCGCACACACACACACACACACACACACACACACACACACACACTCACTCACTAAAGAATAAATGTTTTTTTTTTACATTTTATTTTGTGGATGAGTGTTTTGCCTGTATATATGCGTCCTGGTGCCTGTGGATTTTAGAAGAGGGCCTGAGATCCACTGGAACCAGAGTTACCAATGGTTGTGAGTTGCTATCTGGGTGCTGGGAATCAAACCCAGGTCCTTTGGAAGAGCAGCCAATGCTCTTCACCACTGAGCCATCTCTCCAGTCCTCATATCTGTGGGTTTTTTTGTGTTTAAGATGGAACAATAGCCAATGTGTCCTCTGCCTTCACATAAACCCAAAGACACAAGTACATACACAAATATATGACTCAAATGTCAGGGAGAGAAATAACTTCACTTAAGGCTTGCAAAGACAATAATACAAAAGGCAAATGGCAAGCCTGGGGAAAGTAACAAAAGCAAGGTGTCCTTACACTTCAGAGTGGGAAAGGGAATGGAGAGGTTAAAGAGTGCTTCCTGCAGAGCCATGGTCAGCTGTCCTCAGCGCATCAACAAAGCCAAGGACCAGGTCTGCAAGGATGAGGCAAACAGCTGTGCAGGTACAAACCCGTGGTCTCAGGAGCTGGGAGGAAGAGGCTGAAAGCCCCGGAGTTCAAGGTTGTTCAAGGTCATCCTGAGTTTGAAGGCAGCATGGGCTACTCTGTCACACAAAACAAACAACTTAAAGGCTACACAGTAAGACTCACAGCTTGCTTTATGGCTGGAATCGGTCCTACTCCCATAACGGAAGGCTCCACACCAGCTTGTGACCAGGAGACTATTTGTGCTAAAGGTCTCAGCATTCGACTCTCAGCTTTCGACTTCTGCATGAGAACCACGGCAGCGGCACCATCATTCAATCCTGTAAACAAGTGACCCGGTTTCTACAGTGCTCCTTGACTTCAGGCACAGACCCAGGGCCACCTTTTCCTCCCGAGAGTATTAAGCTGCTGACATCTTAGCAAAACCGTTTGCTGTGATTCATCAGACTAGATAATGTACTTAGAAATTGTCAAGATCAAGCCTAGAATATGATATTGACCATACAATATTACAAGATTCCCCCTCTTCTCTCTTTCTAGACAAGGTCTCTTTAGTCTTGGCTGGCATGGAACTCCCTATGTAGCCCAGGCTGGCCTCAACCTCATAGAGCTCTGGTACAATGCTGGGATAAAGGAGTGCCTCACCATGCCTGGCAACTTCAGAGGTTTTGTTTTCCGAGACAGTGTTTCTTTGTGTAGTACTAGCTATCCTGGATCTGTAGACTATGTTGGCTTGAAACTCGCAGAGTACTAGGATTAAAGGTGTTCACCACCATCGTCTAGACAACCTCAGAGTGTTAATTTTATTCTTTTTACTTGTATGTTTAGTCTAGATGTCAAGAAAGCAAATGATTTCATTAAGTATACATTAACAACTAAGTATACAGGACTAGCAACAATTCCCAGCTTTAGGAATCATTTTGTGTAAAGGAATATTTACTTGCTAGACCTCAAAAGACTTGGTGCTTCCCCCCGATGCCCTTCAGAAATCAAACCTGATGCATTAGCTGGGGTGACTGTCCCCGTTCCATCCGTAAGAAAGTAAGGTTTTAGCTTGCCCATGGCTTCAATGTTACTCCCATGACGAGGAAACTCATCAATCTTCACTTCAGTAACACCTGCAAAGAGTAAGTCCAGTTACTTGGGATGAGTACAGAGAAGGCAGAATGCTGGCACCGGGGACTTCTCAGGAACAAGGGGATTCACACTTGATAGAAAAGTCTATTAACATTTACCCACTTCTATCCAGAAGGAAATTCCTAACTGACCGCATGCAACCCCTGGAGAACCTGTGACACTGTCTCCCTGTGTTTCAAATCCACAGTCTTTTCCAAGGAGAGCAGTAGTTTGTATTGTATGGGGGTGGGTTTGGTCATTGCATTTAGCTGGATGACCCTGAGTGGGTCACAAGTGGAGCCATCCACCTTCTATGAGCTGGACTTGAATGTCAGTTACTGACAAGGGAATTTGTCTGCAGATTCCACTGCAGATCATGGTTAGTAAGCTAACAAGATGTGTCCTCTGCAAATCACATGGGAGCTACTGGAAAGGCTTTATTTGGACCACACAGCAGAGTTGTGTTTTCTGAGAACCATACACTGATACTCACTTCTCACGAAACCCCCAGGATGCACACTGCAGCTCTGGACAATCTGAAGATGACAGCTTCCTGTGTGCCCGTGCAGACAGTATTTTATAGCCAGGTGTGGTGGTACACACCTGTAATCCAACACTCAGCAGGTAGAAGCAGGATGATCACCTGCCACTTGGAGGCCATCCCGGCTACATAGCAAGATCATGTCTCAAAACACAACACATCACCACCTACCCTTCTACCTACACCTTTACTACCCGTAAAGACCAACATTTACGAACAGCCCGACATACCGTCCTTGCGGTGTCACTCATGCAGACAGGCAGAGGATGAACTGTGGTCTCCATACTCACCTTTTCTGGAAGACACCAGCACTGGCACAATCTCCTTGTCAAAGTAGCCAGCTTTCTGCGCATGCTCTGCTCTGTTCTGGGACAGAACTGCAACCTTGTCCTGGGCCTCTCTACTCACTTGCCATTTTTTGGCTACATTTTCAGCTGAGAAGAAAAGGCAAAAACAGCATATTCATGAGCTGGGTTGTGGTGGCTCAAGTGACTCACTTAGGCCTGTTTCCCTTTCTATGTCTGTAAACTTCTAGAAATCTGTATCCAGAGTCACCATTGATGCTTCTGTCTAATTTACTCCCCATCTCCCTTATAAACCTTCTGAGTGAAAGAAGTCCCAGCCTTTTCCTTCTGTGGATGACTCACAGGATAAAGATGGCTACTGGCAAGCATGATGACTTGAGTTTGTCCCCTAGGATGAACATGGCAGAGGGAGAGAACTACAGCAGATTTCTGTTTCTTTTCAAACTTTACCTTTTGTTGCAATAAGACTCAATAGTAAGCCTGTAAAAGTCACTTTTATTCTGTTTCAGTTGTTGTCTCGGAGGCTTACTGGCTCTGTCTGCTAACCTAGGCCTACAATGTTTTCAGCCTCTCAGACATACTGCTTAATAAGCTCTCCCTTTCTTGTTCTTTTTGAGCTCACAGCTGGCTGGTTCAACCCAGCTGTTCTGGCTCAAACTCCTTTCCCGGATAACTTTTTCAATCTGGCACGATAGAGAACTTTAAGGATAAAATGAGTAAGTCACACACATGTGGAAGGCATGACCTCACTTTGCCTGTGTACAAGGTCCAGTCGCCAAAGTCCTATTCTGATCAATGACACAATTATGACAAGCTTTCTGCATCAGGTCAAAAGGAGACCACAAGCCATTTAGGAAAGCCCCATGAAGCACCCAACACCACACACAGTCCAGGATCTCTGGGTGCTACTGTATGCCTCAGCTTCTTGTCCAAAACAGATATGCAACAGTATGGCAGCCAGATGGCCTGCAGACCCAGAGACTCTGCAGTCGGACTCCCTGTCACATGTTTGTGTCAACCTTTTTGAAGCTAGTGTTTCACATCAGCCTTACCTGTGATACCCATATGATAGTTGTGAAATGCATCTGTGAGACCGTCACAGAGTATGCTGTCAGCTAGGGGCACCTCACCCATCCTGACTCCTGTTCTCAGGTGAGCCAAATGAGGGGCCTACAAACAGGAAGGAAGAGGAGATTTAGACCTGGCTGTCACTTGTCCTCTCAGGATCTCCCTAAGTTTCAGAACGGCCTGGCTAGAACTTCCTCCCTCTTTATTATCCATCAAGCCCTTCTCCCCATTACCTGCTCTTCCCAGGTCAGGGCCTGAAACCTCTTGGCATTAGCAAACAATCCCACCTGCCTTCTCTTAGCAATCTATTCCTTTATAACTTACCCATTTCCCTTTCTCTCTCAAACCTATCCATTCTGTGTCTTAATTCCTATGATTCTATTTTTTCCTTCTAGACAGACAAATGTTACCTAAGGGGATGGCATAAAAAGCTAACTCCTATACTTGCTTCTGAAAAATGTTATGTGTGTGAGCCTGTATGAGTTTTCGCGCATCACCCGAGTGCATGCCCAAAGAGACCAGAGGGTTCTGAAGGATCTGGAGCTGGATAACAGGCAGGTGTAAGGCCCAAGGATGCTAGGAACTGAATTTGCGTCTTCTGCAAGAATGGAACAAGCTCTTCACCACTGACCTGCTGCTCTAGCACATTTAGTGTCTATTTGTTAGGAGACATAATAGTCATAGGGAGAACAGTCAGGTTGCAAAATGAACTGACAGAAGGGTTTCTGAGTAGAAGGTATTTCTAACTTCCAGCAATTCAAAAGCAGCCAGAATACAATGGAAATAGTTAATCAAAGCACGATATTATCTGTGAATGAAAATGACATAATTAGGAGCTGGAGAGATGGCTTGGTGGTTAAGCGCTTGTACAGCTCTTGCAGAGTTCTAAGTTTGGTTTCCAGCCAGCTCACAAGGGTCTGATCCTTCAGCTCAGGGAACCTATTACCTCTGGCCTCCAAGGTGTACTTGCAGTTATGTCCACATACCTACACACACACACACACACACACACACACACACACACACACACACACA